CATGTGGCTATGGTGGGAAAGGTGGAGAGAAGCACAAGAGGTAGGGAGGGCACACAGGTCCCTAGTGAATGTGCTCTGTGTGTTGGGCCATCTGAAGCCATGGCTATGATTGTGCCATCCCACTCCTCATTGCCTGCAAACCCGGTTTTGCAAGCATGGAATTGCCACTGAGGAAGAGGTTCCAGTTTTGCAGAGGAACATTCAGCTTTTTTCTTGACTGTGGGCTTATCCTTATTTTTCCTGCTGTCCTTTTGATCATCGTTGCATACCCCTTTCTTCACAGAGCAAATCTGTCCTATGCAGTAGATCAAGTAGGGTCCTCTCTTCACGTGTGTGACCCTGTACCTTTGGTAGCATTTTTCAAATGTGATTTGGGATATTTAGTTTCCTAAACTGAAGATGGAAAAACTCAAATTCCCTCATGTGGCCTCCTCAGGACCACTGAAGAGTCATCAGCAAGGTTGAGATCAGCAGATAGCTTGCACTGAGCTGACAGACCCTGGTTTTGTCCTGTATGTAGAGGAAGAGCAGTAGGGCAAGGGAATGCTTTACCACAGGGCTTTGCAGGTATTTGCAGACGCAGGAGAATGGCGTGTCCCCAGAACCTAGGGTTGTCCCCAAAGGCAGTTGTGTTCTAGGGGGCACTGGCTTTTCTACTCCATCCGTCTCCTTTCTCTACCCTTAGTCCTGTGCTCCTTACCTAGTCTGTACTCACCTCATTTGACTTCCTAGGCCCAGGATCCATGACTACCATTTTCTTCCCCTTTCCCATCCACCCATCACACTCAATTTTTTTTCCCATGAAAGCTTCGCACCCCTGTTTGTTATCCTCATCATCTTCTCTGAATTATTCTTCCTATTTCAGTCTTCCCCTTCCATAGTCCCTTCTCCTGTCTAACCTTCTCTCTTGCCGTTTCATGTGCTCATTGATCCATCTCTCCTTGCCCTGAGGCTCTGTGTTTCAGTTTTCATTCTCACCATATCCAATTTTGATCCTTCTGCATTGGATCTGTTTTACTTCTTCCTGTACCACTAGCTGATGCCAGCAGGAATAT